TGAGGGACTGGCATCCCACCCCACTGCCCCCCCTCCACCCCTCCCATGGTGCCCCTGCCTCATGACCCATGTTTCCTCGAACAGACTTCAGGTTCACAGCAGTCATATATTAGATAAGGTGATGGGGGGGAGGGGGGCAATAAACTGGACAACTGTGAAAATCAACATTATTTCTTTGCTATGGATTGAGGTTCCAGGAAACTGAAACTTGTCACACACACAAAAATGCAATAGTAACCGAAATCTGACAAGTATCACCTAATGCCCTGTCTGATCTGGCCAGTAGATGCACTCTGGTGTGTTTTTGTTCTGAAACTGTGTTTTCTCTCTCTCTCTCTCTCTCTCTCTCTCTCTCTCTCTCTCTCTCTCTGTATCCTTCTCTTTCTCTCCCTGATGCCGCTAGCCAGCTATGGGACTCATTTCCGTCACCTTTCCATGCTCAGAGTGACGATGCCTTGCTGGGCCTCTTGCTGACTCTGCCTGGAAGAAGCAGACCAATGCAGGGTGCAGATGGGCTGTCCGGCTTACATCACCGACTGGAACGATACCGAGAATCCAGCGGCAACATTCCCAACTCCCCCCCCCCACCACCACCACAACCGCCGCCTCCAGGCTTGGAACAGGATGGAGAGCCTCATAAGTCATGTTTCCAAGCATTCCCCAGTTCCCTCTGTGAGCGAGATCGGTAAGTGTTTGGTTCAGGGAAGCAAAAGCAAGAACAACAGATTATTACCCCCCCCCAAAAAAAAAAACCTGCAACTAGGTACATTCCATGTAAAACAAGTAGGATCATCAACTGGCTCCATTCTGAAGAGTTCAACAGAAGCCTGCAGACTGAAATGCCTTCCGGCAAGGATGATTTTAACACTGAGAGTGTTCTGTCAACCCTGAAAGTGCTCATTCTAGCACTCAGATAAACTTTCACTATGGTAAATGAACACTTCTGCATTCAGTGCATATATGCATAACATGCATTTTATTTTGACATATAAAATGATGACTGCTTGCTTTAAATATTTAGCTTTTTCTACAAAAAAAAAGAAACGTAAAATTGTGTTTATTTTCTTTACTGTGGCGGATTGATGAGCTCATCTTAAAGAGGGAGAGTAATGGCTCAAATGGGAAATGTACTGCACTCCAGTAAAATGCTTGTGGGCCTGGAGTGGGGTGTGGGGGGTGGGGTTTGTTCCCTTTCTGAAAATCAGAACTCGAGGAAAACAGAAAATGGACAGTCTGCCAGAGGAATCTTGCCAGAGGGAGGGGGAACATATGACTGAAGACCAGATATGTTACCATAATATACCTATGAGTCTGAAGTCCCTGTGATGCTCCATCTTTCCATTAAAAATAACATGGCTAATCGCTAACATCTCCACAGACTGGTAATTGATTGTAGCATTTTTACTGTAAATCCTGGAGTACTGTGCCATTCCGATATTCAAAAAATGGCTGCACATGTAAGAGAAGAAAGAAACCAGGAAAGCTCAGAAGAACAGGGGACTACTACTTGTCTTTGATGTTTTTGAACATTCCGGGAAGTTCCACAGTGTCAGTATGATCACAAATGAGCCGACTTGGAAGCTGAGCCGTCTTGGGTCTGATGCACCATTATCCAGATGCCGAGACTGTTGTCGATGTTCACAAGTAAATTTCTCAGTCTATGTTCCAACCAAGCTGGAACTGTCTCGAGAAGGAACTGGCTGTTTGGCGAGTGATAAGTGTGTGTTAGGTCTGATAACCTGCTGTAATTCCACTGATTCTACTGAGTCATAATCTTTGTTGTGGCTTTTTCACAGCTTTTAAATCTTAGGACTCAGACACCTAGGGGAAGTGTTGCAGAAATTGAATGTTCTGTGTGGCAATAAGGAAATCAAGGCATGAAGCAGACCACTGCAGAGGATCATCGTGAAAGCTCAGTCATCAGTGTTTTACATACAGAGGTTAAATGTCACCCACATGACTACTGACTGTAATGTGTCACACGTCACATGTCAAGTGTCTGTATTTTAGTAAATAATATTTGGTCAAATGTGGTCCCATTCAGGGAACCACCTGCCCTGCGCATCCATGGTCACCCTGCAGGGTCACCCTGACCCCTGACAAACAATTAGATACATAAGATAAGAATCTTTGTCACTGTGCATTGAACAGTGAAATGTTATTTAATTATGGGAGATGAATGGACATTTACTTGCTTAGCTGAAATGTATTCAAATGTGATTATCAAGTAGATTAATGCCCTAAAAAAGTAAAAACAAGTTATAATAATTGCTGGCTTTCTGTGGTGAAGGAAATTCCTGCTGTGGGCTTATTATTATTATTATTATTAGATCTGGGGAAACGTGAGCAGGGGCTGTTGGGGGCTGTGATGTGTGAGCGAGAGCATTTCCCTCCCAGCCCTTATATCCCAGGACCCACGGCAATAAATTGCTACCATTTCATAACAAAAAATGAAGTGTTTGTGTCCCTGAGCCCCTTTGCCCGGTTCGATAGAGAGGCCTCTCACCCGCCTCCAACCTTTTTGACTGTCTGACATTCGTTCGGTTCGGTTATTGGCATCCCCAAGAGCAGCATGACGTGAAGCACAAGCACAATTTATTTAGTTTATACATGGAGAACAAGAGCGATTTCTGCTGAGAGTCCTGACTCTATATTAATGTCAGCTACCACATCACTTCCAGCAGAGTTTAAGCCCATTTTTTTTCTTATCCAAACTCTTTGGCGAGTCTTTGTTTTTTTCCACAAAAATAAAAAATGCTCATCTGAATGCTGAGATTACCTCTGACTTCACCCAAATGCACTGGATTTAAGGACAGGCTTTGGGATTCACGCTGTAAAGTAGTACTCAGCAGTACCCTGACCCTTTGCTGGGCTTCTCCTTGTTGTGCATGTTGCTGGTACATGGGTTGCCTCTGCAATTGCTGCATGTTTTCACAGACACAATTACAGAGCCCACTATGCTGATAACACCCAAAGAATGTGAGGCATGTGCCAACAGCCAGACACCCCCCGCCCCCCTGGACCCCATCCCCCTACTCCACCCCCCACCCACCCCCCGACTCTGTACCCCATGCTATTTCCTTCTTCAAAGCGGAGTCTTTCTGATCTAAGACAGCCACCTGATTCTGGCCCATATTTCCCTGTAATCAAACACATCAATGGATACTGACCCACTATATAGATAAGACAGACAAAGAGATCAAGCGCAGCTCTATTAGTGTATTTGGAAATTCTTTTCATTAACTGCACCTTCATAATGCATTTAAAATGTATTCAACAAACATTTATAAACAGCATATAAGTACACCTTAACATCCTAACGTATCTTAACATCTTAACATCCTAACAGCTTTACACCAATAGAAAATATTATATGATTATAATGTTGTTTGTTATCATATACCATTTGTTATTAATGTTAAAGTATACTTGCATGCTGCTTATGAACGCATTATAAAGGTGCAGCTGATGTAAAGTGTTACCGTGTATTTTTTTTGTCAGGAAGCAAAGCATAATGTTGAGGTTAGCATGAGTTAGCAAGGTTTACAACCTGTAAGTGCCTGAACACAGGGGCCCCTCCAATGCGCTGAAGGTACCGTGTGGCGCTGGTGCTTCACACAGTGACTGAAGCTCATGGCATCTGGGTGACATGTTTCAGCAAGTCTGGGCAAGAGCGCAGGTCAGCACAAATAATCTGCTAGCACCGATCTGCTGCTAGCGCACCTGAAAACGCCACCCTTTCAGAAATCCCTTAATTACAGGCTAACAATCAGACAACAATCACACCTAGAGAACAACCGACCGCAGAGGGGCAGAGTGATCAGTACACGAGCTGCACGGAGATCGGTCCTGCTTTGCGATGAAAAGATGATGCACGGATGGTTTGCAGCTGCTACAAGTATTCTTTTGTCCTCTCTTTGGCTTTGAATATATGCTTGGTCCCTAGGGCATACACTTGGGTATGGATGGCAGGAACATGTCACTACTGATTCGATGGGCATACCTTGTGTGTTTAGGCGGGAGGGTCTGGGCTGATCTGGTCCCTACGCTCTTGTTTGGTGCACTGTGGTGAAGCTGTGAGTGGGCTCAGTTGTGACCAATAAAGCAATCCCTGTGAGTTGAAGATACACCTCCACGGAGGCCCAGGGATGTAGATGCTCGTCCTGAAAACAGCCTGGGCCTCCAGAGAGGAAGCCTTTGGTCTTGATGGTACAGCGATTGAACAGAGCTTATGCTTGACGTTTTGGCGCCGTTGCCGTTCCGTCTAAAACATTCCTGTGACATGACCGTCTATAGAGATGTGCAGATATGCTAGGGAATGTAAATAATGCAGTATGAAACCCTTATATTACCCTCAATGCTGTCTTAATGCACACCATGGCTTTTTAGTTGGAACTCCTAATAATAATTTATCAACTGATTTCGTATAATTATATTGTGATAATTCAATACTACATCTGCCTGCCTGCCTGAGATATTGTCTGCCAGGGTATAAAACCTGAGATAACCTGAGTTTGAAAATACTGAGAGGCATATCTGAGGGTTGAAAGAATAAAATTATGTGGCCAGGTAAATACCAGGAACAGGTGTGGCTCATCAGAAGCCAGATAGGATAGAAAACCCGCTGAACAGTAGTTCTTCAGGACCGGAGCTGGAGACCCCTGTCTCACACTGTAAGAGTAAATCACCTTCAAATTGCTTCATACTGGGTCTTCTTTACTGAGGCCGTAGCCTCTATCTCATTCTGGGGGTTTCCCAGATGTTCCCAGGCCAGATGTAGCCCCTCCAGTGTGTCATGGATCTGGCCTGGGGGGAGAGGGGGGCTCTGCCCAGCTCCCTTGGGAGTCGACCAGATGGTAGATCCAGCTCAGCTGGGTTTTTTTTTTATCTCCCCAGTTGTTCTGGAACTCCTCACCTTATCGCAGAGAGTGAGCTCTGCAACCCTGTGGAGAAACTCCATTACGGCGGCTTGTACTTGCGATCTTATTCTTTCAGTTATTTCCCACAGCTCTTGACCATAAGTGAGGAGAGTGACATAGACTGACCTGTAAACCACAAGCTGTGTGGTGTGAGCTGACGAAGTAGCTCTTTCTTTACCACCACCACAGACACACTTGTTGCCGCTGAACCAATCCACTTGTCACAGTCCAAGTGGAGCCCCCCCCCCCCCACCCCGCCATCAGTAGTCACCACCCAATTATCAAAATTTACTTTGTGTCAACCTAGCTGAAATGAAAATGGTGAGATTGGTTAATTAAAAAAAACTGTATGGGGCAGGGAATGATAAAGATGTTAAAAGCTGTCAAACTGGAGGAGGGACTTGGCACCAGCAGTTTGCTAAGTTGGCACCCCTTCAGATCATGTTGCCCAGGGGCAATTGCCCATCCTGCCCCTGCCAAGATCCACCCCTGATCTCACATTCCCTCTTACCATCACTCAGGACTGAGATCCCAAAGCTCTCTGATGGCAGACTCTCTCCCCTCACCCGAATGCAGTGATCGATTCTTTAGCCAGAGAGCACCATGACTGATTCTCCTCCCTCTGCATCAGACTGCTGCAGTTTGTGCTGGAGGCCT